TAGGCAGAGTCTTTGGCTCAACAAAGTTAGAAAGCCACTAGACCTGACCCCAGAATCTCTAAGGTCCTTTCAGGGCCAGCATCCTGACTTCAAGGGTTCAAGACCCTGGTTTGCTAAGGCTCAGCAGGCGCTTGTCCCTAACAACTTCCACCCACCCCTTACTTCCTGCTCAGGGCTCCCGGCTCCCTGAGGCCCAGCTATCCAAGGTCCTTCCCATTTCCTCCTTCAGTCAGCCCAGACCTGTGCTTCTAACCCCATAGATGGTGTACCTACGGATCCCGCCGGCCCAGGTGGGAAATTTGAAAAGCAAAATACTGCATCCATACCGAACACATAGGCCTTTCACTTTTGATAATTATCATACTTTTTTTTTTTTTTTTTTTTTTTTGGTTTTTCGAGACAGGATTTCTCTGTGGCTTTGGAGGCTGTCCTGGAACTCACTCTGTAGACCAGGCTGGTCTCCAACTCACAGAGATCTGCCTGCCTCTGCCTCCCAAGTGCTGGGATTAAAGGCGTGCGCCACTAATGCCCAGCTACATCATACTTATTTACCCAGTATTTATGCTGTGTTAGATATTACACCATCCGGAGATGACTTAGGGTGTACGGGAACAGGTATTTAGTGAGACAAAAATACTGAACTACCTAAGAGACTTGAACATCTGTAGGTCTTGGTATCTGTGGGGCCATGGAACCAGTGCCCCCTGGACACTGAAGGTGACTTTTTTACCCAGCTCAGGCTGTCCCCATAGCCAGCTTCTTCCCTGGACTTCATATCGGAAGCTTCTTCTCCCTCGGTCCCACTGTATTAGCAAACGCTATTCAGTCCTGGACCTCATGACTCCCATCTCCCTGTGCCAGGCCCAAGCCAGGAGCATCCTCCCTAGGTAAAGGCATTGGCCTCTTCATTGCCTCTGACTCCTGCTCTTCCTTCTTTCCTAGTAGCTAGGCTACTTTTTTAAATCTTTATGTATAATGTGAATACAGAAATATGTACCAAGTACGTCTAGATGTGTTTTGCAAATTGAACTAATCTAACTGAGTAGACACAGACCTAGGATCATACACAGCAACCTCAGACTGACACAAATTGCCTACCTCAGGCTGTCTCATCAAGCTCAAGTCTGTATTCCTTTCCTTTGACTGCCCATCCTGCTCTGAACACACTCCTGGCCCCGGCTCTGTCCCAAAGTAGGTCATACTGTTGCTACCTTTGTCCTCAAATCCAACACCTTCTCCTCCTGCCCTCCCTCTGACAGACACTGCCATCCCGCTCTCTGTCTCTTCCCCTCAGTCATGCAAGTGGAACCCAGGGTCTCATACACGCGAGGTAAATGTTCTACTACAGAGCCACAATCCAGCCAGAATGACCTTTAAAACAACTCCATGTAATTTAACATGACTTCACCTACTGAGTTACAAACCGTTTCCCACCCTTCTCTCTCCACCCCCTTGACTGAGTGTCAGTTCTGAGAGGCTACAAGCAGTTCCTTCTTGCCTAGTACCCTGCACTTGCCGAGAGGCACCCTGTCAAGCAAACAAAAGAAAACGCCAGAACAACTGGTGTGGGGAGACTGTGGGCATGCGGCCAGCAGCAAGCAACGGGAGGGATGATCTGGAGGGGCCTGGGGTCATCGAGATGCTGCCACCTCACTCACCCAGTTCTCCATTTTCTTGGCCCTGCGCTCCAGTCCCTTCTGCAGGCGTTCGCCCACACCCCCTGAGGTCTGAAATTCGTCCACCAGTTGCTTGGTGTGGGCCCATTCTTCCTCACTCACGATGGGCTGCAGTGCCTTGAGGTAATGGTCCAGGGATTGCTGGAGTGGGGGCACAGGCAGCCTCGGCAGTGCATCCTGGTGGGCCTTGAAGCGGCTAGAAACCTTCATCAGGGAGGAGGGCTTGAGGATGCCCAGGGGCTTTACCTGAGGGAAGCAGAGCATCCTATTCATTCCCTCAGTCTGAAGTACAGCTGTCCCCCAGCTGCAGTCCTAGGCGCTTATATGCCATCCCCGGGGGCAAAGACAGCTTAATGGGTGGTGCCTGCCCTGGATGCCCAGCCCTTGAGGGACCGGAGTCCCACCTCTTAGGAGCCTAGAGGTGCAGGGAGGCTAGGAAAGGGTGGGGGCAGGGATGAATGACTGAATGACACTGTTGGGGTGGCAGAGGTAAGGGGGCCTAGCAGCAGTGAGGATGCACTAGACCCATCGTCTTTCTTGCCCTGGCAGGTAAGTCAGCCAGCAGAGGGGTGGCAGCTGACTCTAGGCTGAGGTCCCCAACTTCTTTCTCCCCCCATCTTTTCCAGTTTGAGAAATAGGAGGGAACTGGAAATGGGAGAACCAAACAGTGAGAGCGCCTCTGGGTGAAGCTTCAGCCTCTGGGCTTTCTCTTCACCGTGGGTGATGTAAGGGGTGCTGGGCAGTGCTGCAGCAAGAGAGCTGGGTAGCCTTGCATGGAGGGTGAGAGGTAGCAGAGAGAGAGCTGGGAGTCCAGGAGACTCAGAAGTGGCAGAAAGCAAGGCAGGAAGGAAGGTCCCAGGCTGCTGGCACAGCGCAGGCGAGCGGAAGAGGTTCCATTCCATACCTTCTCTCTCTGCTGCTCGTCCTCCATGGCAGGACTGATGATGTGAGCCCTGTCTGTCTGCCTTGGCTGGATCTCTAAGCCTAACTGTGCTACCAACTGGACGAGTAGAAACTAGCAAGAGGCAGCCACCTGCCTGGGCTGCAAAGAAAAGACAAGATCCACAATTCAGGGCTGAGGGAGCAGTGAGGCACTAGTCACTGATGTGACAGTTAAGGTTCTAGCCCTGGTAGCCACAGGATTGCAGCAGCTACTCCTCCACCTCCTCCTAGCTTCCAGAAGAGGAATGGGGCAGGTGAGTGGGCTGGAAATATGCATTAGGGGAGGAGGGAACCTGGGACTTTCTCCTTTCTTCTTTGGATGGGCCCAGTGCCAGGAAGGCAAGCCAAAAAGGTATTAAAAATCCACCTGTCAAAATCTTCCTAGATCTTTTTGATGTGGGAAAACTTGGCTGGAGGGTGAAAACAGTCTGACTGCTAACCTGTGGCCCTGAAATCAGTCCTGTTCCGGACTGTGCAAGGCAGGAGGAGGGGCCGCAAGTGGACAAGGCTTTCTACAAACCTTGTCCATTTGTTTCACTTCGAGAGCCGGGGGCTTTTGGTGGCCACCCCTTTACCAAAATCTCGTTTTGATTTTTCTGAGCTTCAGATCACTTAGGTTAGGATCAAGATGTGTGCCTGGGCCGGGCGTTGGTGGCACACGCCTTCAATCCCAGCACTTGGGAGGCAGAGGCAGGCGGATCTCTGTGAGTTCGAGGCCAGCCTGGTCTACAAAGTGAGTTGCAGGACAGCCTCCAAAGCCACAGAAAAACTCTGTCTCGAAAAACCAAAAAAAAAAAAAAAAGATGTGTGCCTGGGAGAGTGAGAGAGAGAGAGAGTGTGTGTGTGTGTGTACGTGTATGTGCAGGAGTACTTTTGGTATGAACAATAAACTAAAGGTCCCCAGTTTGAGGGTTAGGCTAATTGAATGGGATTTGACTGTCTCCTTGCTTCAGTTTCCCTAGCATCAAAGTGGTTGTGCCACTATGGGGATCCCACATGATGACGGACAAGGAGTCTGTTGGATGGTGGACAGCTTTTGAAAAGGGCAAGGCAGGTCTCAGGTGCTGCTGGGACTCCTAGATGAGTCTTCCTCGGAGCTGACATGGGTGCCCTTAAATGCCGGCCCAGAGTCTGAGATGGAGACACAGCTCACGGCTGTATAGATGGCATCAGGGGAAAGGAGCTCACATCAGGACAGCATCATTGGGCAAGGTTGGCAAGGGGCTGCCTGCCACCTCCTGCACCTGAGGTTCTCTTAAGCAGGGTGAGCACCTGATGAACTCAAGGATGACCAACTGGGTAGGCTTGGAGAAGCGGCTCCGGTGGGGCAAGGGCACCCGGGCCTGAGGCTGAGCCCCAGCCAGGAGCTCCCGACTGGTGTCTTGAGACAGAATAACTGATCATGAAGGAGAAGCGGTGTGTAAAGATGCAAAAGACTTGAACCTAGATAAGATATCCCAGTCTTTTCCTGGGTCGTTGATAATAAGCGCCACAGGTCTCGGGGTCGATCCCGCGCCTCACCTGGTCGGTCTACTCTACCCACTCTGCAGATCGTACCCTATCAGCCGGTGTGGGGGTTCTGGACCCTCGTTTCCCTGCAGCCCGCCGCCCGCCCGCCCAACCCTGTCCAGAACCCTCTCGTGCGTACTTACCACGGTCCTGGCAGCAAAGGCTAACATCGTCCCAATCTGTCTGCGGACACTCGGTCCGCTCCGCCTCTACTGCTGGGCAAAGTCTGCGCTGCTGCTGCTGCTGTGGGGTCAGTGGGTTCTCCTCTCGGGCTGTAGGTTCAAGGTCACCGAGTCACTGCCGCCAGCCAGTAGAGGCGGCCCCGCGCCCACCGGGCCGGGCGGGCGGGCGGCCGGTGGAGCAGGACTCACGGGGCGGAGCCTCGGTGGCTCAGTCCCCGGCCGCTAGCCGCGAGCCGCGAGCCGGGGGCGGGCCCAAGCTTTGGGCGTGGTCACGGGGGAGGGGCCTGCGGCGCTGGGTCTCCGGTTTAGCCGTTAGAGGCCGGGCGCTGTGCCTCCGCCACGGGCCACAACGGTGGCCGCAGTGCAGCGCGCGCCTCCCCCCCTCCCCCGAACGCCCCCTAAGCTGTCGAGGTGGTTGCGTGCATCCATCAAGGCCGAGTGGTGTCCTTGAGCGTCCCTCCTGGAGTTGCAGGAAAACATAACCGTGTTGACGGGGGGCGGGGGGGGCTGTCTCCGATTCTTTGGGCTAGGCTCTGTGCCATTCACAAAGATGACAGGTGCCTTGCCCCGCAAAACTATGGCTGCCATCCCGCTCCTCCCCCAGCCCCCCGAAACCGGAAGCCCCGCACAGATATGGCCGCCGCATCTCTGCTGGGGGGGGGGCCTGCGGGCGGCAGCCGTTAGTGCGCATGCGCCCCGGCGCCCCGCACCAAAATGGCCGCTGCGCCTGTGCGCCCGGCGGCCGCGAGACGGCGGTTGGTGGGCATGCTCCCTGGGTGCCCCGCACTGGCATGGCTGCCGCCCTCGCAAGAGTGACTCCAGTTCTCGGCTTCCGGTCGTAGCCGGCCGGCGTTCATTTCTCCTCTGGAGGCTTAGCGGAGCCGGGAAAAGGTGCGGGGTAGACGGGCAGAGGGAACTGCAAGCATCCGCGCCGCCGGCTCCTAACGGAGAAGATGGCTGAGGGCGAGCGGCAGCCGCCGCCAGGTAGGGCGGTTGGAGGGCCCTGGAGTGCGGGCAGGAAAGGGGTGTGGCTCGGGGGGGGTCTCAGGGCTGTGGAGACCTGGAGAGGCGTTGGAGGCGAAGCTGTCGGCCTCCGAGGAGTTGAAGGGCCGGAACCCCGGGCTGCAGGCCGATGGCGGGGTGGATGACCGGACTTGGGGAGCCCGGGGCTGACCAGGGCCGGGCGGGCAGAGCGGTGGGGAAGGACAGAACGTGCTTAGGTAAGAGGTCTTGACCTGGTGCCAGAATTGCCTGGGGTCGGGGCGGAGAGGGATCGAGGAGGCTGCCTTTTTTTTTTTTTTTTTTTTTCTTTAATGAGACTTTGCTCCAGTGGGCCTGCGCCTCACTCGCTGGCAGGTCAGCTTCCTGCATGCCCTGCCCACCCTGCATCATCACCCCTTCCTCCCTCCCTCCTGTTTCAGTATCTACGGAGTTGAGAGAAACTACCCGTGGTGTCTAAACCACTAATTTAATGAAGCTGTTTGTGCAAGATGAGAGGGTTGGTGGCATCGCCGTGAGTTAACTTTTATTTACACTGTGGCCTCATTGTAGCTCATCCCGAGTAACTAGGGCAGAGCTACAGGCCGGTTCTTCCAGTAGAGACCCCCCTTCCTGGAGAAGAAAGCAGTTTGATGACTCCATGGAGTTAAGAAGGTCCGAAAGATTCTTACAGAGAGTGGATAGTTTGGCGTAACACAGCGTTTGATGACCCATCTACCGCACTTCATAGTTTGTGGTCCCAGACAAGGTCTCAATAGGGAGATATTTTGAAAATCAAAGGAGGTGCCATTTCTGTGTCCCCCTAAAATAGATGAACACAGTGGAATTGGAAACCAGACGTTTATTTTACATTATTCCCAAGCCTCTATGAATGTATCCTAATCAGTTGTGGTGATGACATCAAGAACTACAAGTGTCCCTGAAGATGAGTAGGGGAGAGACTTGGGGATCAGAACCTGTGCACTGGAACAGACAAAACAAAAAAACCTCAGGGAGGTCGTCTGGAAAGACTCAGGTCCCTGGAAAATAGTATTTGAAGGCAGGGTCTCACTATATGTATAACCCTAGCTACCTTGTAACTCACTAGGTAGACCAGGCTGGTCTTGAGTTTACAGAGAGCTGCCAGCTTCTGCCTAAGAGTGTTGGGATTAAAGGTGTTTGCCACCGTAACTCCCAGTAGTTATTTATTTTTTAAAGTTAATTTCATCAGCTTTAACTTAGGCTTTAGTAATAAAACAGACTTGAGTACCTGTGAAGGTTAGCAGTATGGGAAGTAATGAGAGTAGCACATGTGGTAAGAAATTCTGTAAAGTTATGGAAAGTTTTGAATTGCACAGACTAATATGGCAAGTCACAACCTCTGTGTCCTTTGGTAGACTGGAAATGAGGACGCTCTGGCTCAGCAGGCAAAGGTGTGTGCTGCCAAGCCTGGCCGCCCAAGCGCCATCCCTGGAACCCACAAGATGGAGGATAGAACTCACACACTCTGGCGTTATAGGCACGTGTGCATGTGCACACACACACTCCAGAAATATAACGTTACAGTGAGGTTATTCAACTTTCCTCTTGGAGTTCTGGTATATGGACAGTCAGAAGTGAGCAGAGTGTGACGTGTGGCAGACACAAGGTGGATACAAACATGTCACACCCAGATGACAGGTGATAATCCAGCACACTCTGGGGGGGTGTGGGTATTTTTGTTCCCTCCCTCCCTTTCTTCCTTTCTTTTTCTTCTTTTCTTTCTTTTTTTTTTTTTTTTTTTGAGACAGGGTGTCACTAAATTCCTGACACTTTTCATTTCCTTCATGACTTCTGCAGGCAGACTCTGTTCCTAGGACTAGAACTCACTGTGTAGACCAGATTGGAACTGAGATCCATCTGCCTCTGGCTCCCGAGTGCTGGCCTTCACGGCCTTCCTTCACTACTACGTCCAGCCTGTACTTTTGATACACGGGCACTGGCCCTGGCTGCCCTGGAAATCATCTTGTAGCCCTCTCAAGAGCTGGGCTACAGGTGTGGGCCACCATGGTCAGCTGTTTTTGAGGCAGGGCTTCACTATGTGGCCGTGGCTGACTAGAGTTGGGACGGGTTCTTCTTCCTCCACCCACTGAATGCTGGGATTATCGTGATATGCTACTGCACCTGGGCTGCTTTTGAGTGTTTTTCAAGGAACATCTGTAAAACTCTTCCTGTTCTGATCTTAACTGTCAATGCAGGGGATCCAGTGTCTCTTGAGTCCCTTGTCTGTGACTGAAGAAGCTGTGGGTGTGCTCTCTCTCTTATAGTCTTGTCTCTGAAGTCTTAGTAATTTTTGTTTGCTTGTTTGGTTTTGATTTGGGATTGTGTATTCTGTTGCCTCTGTTTCTTCAGGTACTTACTGTTTTGCTTCATGTAAGGTGGCCTCTGCTCTTGGGGTGTAGCCAGGCCTGGAGGCCTTCTTCTCTGTGAAATAATGTCTGGAGGGCAACTTGTTGCAGGGAATAGGTCTCTTACAAGAGAGCTAGATGCCAAAGATCATTTGCAGGTTGGTTATTTGGAATGGGGAAGACATTTTCCCATAAAATGTGTCCCCATAAACAGTGGGGACTCTCCAGACTAGCTTCAAAGCTTTCCATTAGCAGTTTACTATTAGGAAGGGCCTGGCGTGGGAACCACGCGCGCGAGTGTGTGTGTGTGTGTGTGTGTGTGTGTGTGTGTGTGGTGGGAGGGGGAAGCTTTGACTCTCTGCATGCATGACCTTTCCCCTTCCCTCACTCACCCTCTGCCCTCTGCTTTACTTTTGAGCTCTGCTAAGTCTGGGAAGCTTATCTTGCTCTTATCTCATCTTTAACCTTCCACTTTGGTCTCCAGTCCCCTAGCACTTCAGTTTTCTCAGGACTTTCTGGGCAGGCTCTGTTCTTGCACATGCCACATCTACAGAACCCTGGAGGCCTCTGTCGGTTTTTCTGCATACAGTGATGACTAGGTTTTAGAGGAAGGCGTCAGGGCAGGCTGTGTTATGTGGAGCCTCACCATCGCTCACCTTCCTAGAGTTGCATTTTCAAATGCAACTTCCTGAACCACCGCATCTCAAATTGCAGACTCAGGCTCTCTCTATGAACTCCATGACTGGTGTGTTTGGAATTCAATTTCTCATGTTTATGGAGGTACACTACTAACTAACCCAGAAAAATCACTTCTGCAGTATATAAATACCTTCACTAAGCAGGCACTGAAAGCCTACTATTAGTCTATAAACTTATTTCAAAATAACTTTGGGAGTCAGGCAGTGGTGAACCCTTTAATCCCAGCACTCAGGAGGCAGAGGCAGGCAGATCTGTGAGTTTGAGGCCTGCCTGGTCTACAAAGCTACACCGAGAAACCTTGTCTTGAAAAAAAAAAAAAAAGCAAAGCCAAAAACATATTTTTCAAAGCAGAAGGCCCTTATAAATCATGCTCCCTGGAGATGACCATTAGGAGCTTTGCTATTTAACCCCGTAGATTAGTAGTGTGAGTTGTTTTTACAGGAGTGGGATTATACAAAAAATTAGGACTTTTTCAGTTGTTAATATGTAGATTACCTTTCCTGTGCCTGTGATACAGATGTTTATTCCTTTTAAAGCTGTAAAAATAAGAAAGCCATGTGGTAGCTTATGCCTGTAGTAATCAAGAAGGTGAAACAAGAGGATTGCCATTAGTTCTAGGCCAGCCTGGGCTACCCAGTGAGTTTCAAGTCAGCCTGAGTAACAGTTTGGAACCCTGTCTTAAAAAACAAAAATAAGCTGGGCGTTGGTGGCACACACCTTTAATCCCAGCACTTGGGAGGCAGAGGCAGGTGGATCTCTGTGAATTCGAGGCCAGCCTGGTCTACAGAGTGAATTCCAGGACAGCCTCTAAAACAATACAGAGAAACCCTGTCTGGAAACCCCCCCCCCACAAAAAAAAAGCCTGGCGGTGGTGGCACACTTTAATCCCAGCACTCAGGAGGCAGAGGTAGAGGCAGGTGGATCTCTGTGAATTTGAGACCAGCCTGGTCTACAGAGTGAGTTCCAGGACAGTCAGGGCTACACAGAGAAGCCCTGTCTCTAAAAACAAACAAACAAAATCTGCTAGAGAGATGGCTCAGTGGTTAAGAGACTACTGTTCCTCAGAAGACCTGGGTTCTTAGTTCCTAGCATCCACATGGCAGCTCACACATTCTAACCCAGTTCCACCTGCATCCATTTGGGCAAAAAACTCATATACATAAAATAAAAATAAGTCTTGAATAATGACAAAAAAAGAAAAGAAAGCACAAAACAAGCTGGGCATGGTTGGGCACAGCTTTAATCCCAGCACTTGGGAGGCAGAGGCAGGCGATCTCTGTGAACTCAAGGTCAGTCTGGTCTACAGATCGAGTTCAAGGATAGTCAGGGCTACACAGAGAAATTCTCTCTCTCTCTCTCTCTCTCTCTCTCTCTCTCTCTCTCTCTCTCTCTCTCTCTCTCTCTCTCTCTCTCTCTCTCTCTCTCTCTCTGTGTGTGTGTGTGTGTGTGTGTGTGTGTGTGTGTGTGTGTGTGTGTGTAGGGGGGGTGATCAAGAAGCGGGGAGGCAGAGGGACATGGATAACAAAAACAACAGCTTAAAGAAATGCAGAAAAAGGGCTGGAGAGATGGGTTAGCGGGTAAGCAGGTAAGGGTGCATACTATTTTTGCAGAGGACCTGAGTTTGGTTCCTTGTACTCAGGTTGGATGGCTCACTACCATTTGTAACTCTAGCTCCACTGCCTTTGACCTCTTAAAGATACCTAAAGGCATGTACATATATCCATCCCAGAAGCATGCACAGACATCCCCATACACCTGAACATAGTTGAAAATAAATATAAATTAATATAATATCTTAAAAATTAAAATAATAGTTCAGTCCTATGTCAGTGATCTCTCACTAGCTCTGGTCAGCTGATGCTGTGGGTTTCCCCATCATGGTCTTGACTCCTTTGTTCATATTATCACTTTGATTGTACTCCAGGAGGTTGACCCAGTGGTGAGTTACAGATCTCCGAATCTGCAGCTTCTCTGGGGTTGTGGATTATAGGCTGATTCTACTTTGCTTTATGTCTGGTAGCCACTTATGAGTGGCTATATTTGTCTTTCTGGTTTTGGGTTACCTCACTCAGGAAGGTATTTTCCTAGTTTTGTCCATTTGCCTGCAAATTTTAGGATGCTGTTGTTTCTTACCACTGAGTACTACTCTACTGTGTAAATGTACCACATTTTCTTTATACATTCTTCAGTTGAGGGACCCCTGAATACAGGTGACAGTGGTATGCTTGGGCAGTATATGAAGCCACTGGCAGTGTGACCAAGATCTAACTATAATGCATAAACTGACTTTGTGGAGCCCATCCTCTATGGAGAGATACCTTTCTCCGCCTAGACATGGATTGGGGGTTGCCTTGGTCCTGCCTCAACAAGGTGATGGGACAGACTTAGTTGACATCCTAGGGGAGGCTTTACCTCCCTGAGGAGTAGATGGGGGAAGGAGGGGTGAGCAGGAGAAGAGGAGGGAGGGGGAACTGGGATTGGAATGTAAAAAAAAATTTTGGGGGGGTTTGAGATGGGGTTTCTCTGTTGCTTTGGAGGCTGTCCTAGGTACTCGCCGTGTAGCCAAACTGGCCTCAAACTCACAGAGATCCACCTACCTCTGCCTCCTGAGTGCTGGGATTAAAGGCGTGCACCACCAATGCCTGACCACAAGTTTTATTTTATTTTATTTTTTTTTTGGTTTTACAAGACAGGGTTTCTCTGTATTGTTTTAGAGGCTGTGGGTCCAGCCTGACCTCGAACTCACAGAGATCCGCCTGCCTCTGCCTCCCGAGTGCTGGGATTAAAGGCATGAGCCACCAACACCCGGCTATTTTACTTTTTTATTTCTTTATTTCTTTATTTATTACATATACAATTTTCTGCCTACATTCCAGAAGAGGGCACCAGATTGAATATTAGATGGTTGTGAGCCACCATGTGGTTGCTGGGAATTGAACTCAGGACCCCTGGAAGAGCAGTCAGTGCTCTTAACCTCTGAGCCATCTCTCCAGCCCCACAAGTTTTATTTTTAAAAAATTTCTGTGGCATATACAGGTCAACTTTCCCTCCCTCCCTCCCTCCTTCCTTCCTTTTTTTTTTTTTTTTTGAGACAGACCCAAGCTGCCCTAGAACTTACTATGTAGCCCAGACAGGCTTCCAGCTTGGTGATTTTCCTCCTGCCTCAGCCTCCCAGTGTGTGCCACTGTGCCTGGCTTGGTTTTATTTTTTTAAGTGTCTTGCTCAGTTAGGAATCAGGGAAGGAGTGGTTGGTTACTAGAGAACCAGTCACTTTGTATGTGGACATGTGTGTGCATTTATGTATGTAAGCAAAGGCCAGAGGTGATTTTGGGGTGTTGTCCTCACATTTTTTTGAGACTACAGGTTCACCTAGACCCTAGCTCATGAGCCCCATGGATCCACCTGAATGTCTCCCCAGTACTAGAATTGTACATGTGTGCTGCTGTGCCCAGATTTGTATGTATATGTTGGGTTTCTGAACTCAGGTGCTCATTCTTTTGTGGCAGGCAGTTTACCTGCTGGGGCGTCACTGGCCTGCTCTGTTTTTCACTCCTTATGCCATGAAAGGCTGGAATATGATGTTTTTTTTTTTTTAAATAAACTTTTGCTTGGGTTCAAAGGCTCGAGTCTTGCTTTAAAAATGAGTTGGGTAGTAGCGGCCTATGTCTTTAAGTCCAGCACCCAGAGACAGGTGAATCTCTGATTTGAGGCCAGCCTGGTGTGCAGATGGAGTTCCAGGACAGCCAGGGCTACGCAGAGAAATCCTGTGTTTAAAAAAAAAAAAAAAAAAAAGAGGATGATGGGGGACATCCTTTTGTGTTATGTTTGATTGGTATAAAATTTGACTACGTTAAAGTCACAACCTTTCTTTTTATTTAGACAGAAAAGAGGGGGGACGTCCTGTGTAGATGTTTGGTGTGAATAAAGCACTGTTAGCCAATAGGGAAGCAAGATAGGGGGGACTAGGAGTCAAGGAGGATTCTGGGAAATGTAGCGAAGAGAATCGTCAAGATGTGATCCCTGGAGGAGAGAACGCAAGTCTGGCATTCTCAAAAAGACAAGTCCTTATAAAAATACATGTTGGTGATTATGGGTTAATGATTAAGTCAGAGCTAGCTGATTAGAAAAACCATAGCACGTGGCCAACAGCTTCATAATTAATATAGTGTCTGTGTGTTATTTGGGGGCTAAAGCGACAACGGGACCCAGGCGGGAATCCCGCAGCAGGAGGGCACTGAGAGGCAGAGCACAGGCCAGGAGTGAGATGTAGGCCAGCCTGGGCTCCATGAAGAGAACCTGCCTCCAAAAAGAGAGGATGGGTCAGAGGGAGGAATTATTTACCTATGTGCCCTTTCATTTTCTTTGTCCAGATTCTTCAGAGGAGACCCCTCCAGCTACTCAGAACTTTATCATTCCAAAAAAAGAAATCCACACAGTTCCAGATATGGGCAAATGGAAGCGCTCTCAGGTATGAGTGGTACCTACACTTGAGGGTTGGAGCAGGGGTGAGAACTTGAGGCTTTTCAGTGGCTTTCTAGGCAGGCCATGGTTACAGGCCCTTCGCCTCTCCTGCTCTTGGAACCTAAGGAAGGAGATGAGAAGGTAGCTGTCCCCCCCCCCCCCCCCAGCCAGTGCACAGAGTTGCTTTATCAGTATGGTCTGGCCAGGCCCTGGTAAGTCTGGAACTTCCCACTCGGTTAAGCCATTCATTTCTCCTTTAGTGTTATACTAGATGGACATGAATATAGCTCTTGCTTGCAAGAGTCTGCATGTGTAGGAGCCAGTGCAACAGGGAGAAGAGACTACCTTGTGGATACCTCGGCCAGGAACATGACTGCCCTAAAAATAGCTGGGAATTGAGATCCAGCGCCCTGGCAGCAGGCTGGCTTTCTCTGCTTCTCAGCCCGGATGATGGGCAGAAGAAAGCTAATTGTGCCTCTTAGGCTTCCAGTCCAGAATTGAAGAAAAGAAAGACCACTTGCAGTTCTTAGAGAGGGCCTTGGGCCTAGCTCCAGTCAGGCGCTCATGCCAGCTCTGCATCTGCCATAGAGAGCATCATTTGCACAGAAGGAGGCACAAAGGCCCTTGCTTGTGTCCATGCCAAGTCTGCCAAGCTTGCACCAAGCAGCCATATGTTTCACTCCATTTGACAGGAAGGAAGCCTGCCCTCTGACACTTGCAGATGGGTATCATGTCCTTTTCTGAGTTTTCACCAGGATTCGCCTTATTCCTTCAGCCTCTCAGAAGCCATGGCTGGAACCCTTTCATCATCTCAGTTGCTCTGTCCCTGCGTTTCTGTCTTGTAGGAGGCAGTCCTTGAAGGGTAGGCTCTAACCCTGGCTCTGCCTACTAAATAACGCTAGACGCTAGCTAGCCACATCCTCCCAGCTGAGAGACTGTTCTTATCCGGAACTAGCTGTTTGTCTGAACCCTTCCGTGACACCACCATGGCAAACCTGGCTTGGTCCTGTCTTCCTGTGTGGGCAAAGTTTCTGTGCTTGATTCCCCTGGCCCACTGGAGGCCATCTTGCAGGCTGATAGGGGACTCTAGTGTGAACTCACCCACTCTAGATGCCAAACGTCTGTTCTCATGGCTTATCATGGATGTCCCGCCACCCATAGGCTGGACGAGGAGGAAGAAAGTAAGAAGGAGAAATGAAGAAAGAAGATGGAATGGAGGCACTTGCTCTCAGAAACTGCTTTCCCCAGAGGGCCGAGTCTCTGTTTTCTCCCTGGGGTAACCCTGCAGCACGGCAGGAAGAAAGTCCCGTTGGAAGTGACGCTGCTGTGCCAGCAGACCTGTCTGTAGGCAGGGACAGCTCTTGCTGGAGGAAGGAGTTCTGTGCTGTAGTTGTCACCCTGTACTGTCGTTGTGGGGAGATGCTGGAAGATGACCCGGGGAAGGGAATGTTGGGGCATTCCTTGAACTCCTGCTGATACAGGGTGATAGGCAGACATTTAATTGCTACCCAGCTGTGGATTTTGGCTGGCAAGGTCCTAGCTCTGTGTTCAATGAAATCTTGGTCCTGGAAAACCATGGGCAGATTACTTCCCTTGAAGTCTTTGTTTCTATATTAGTAAGATGGTGACAATAGTGTCTTCCTGTAGGACTGCCTAAAGCAATTGTAAGCCCTCAGTAGACCTTGGCTAGGAGTTGGGTGTGGTTGTGATCACTGCATGGCTTTATTGATGGGGCGTGTATTTGGTGCTTCTGGTGCTGTCTGGGTTGGGAGTGGGAGCTGGGGCAGCTGGGGTAACCAAGATCTGACACCGTCTCCCTTCCCTCCTCTCCCTATCTGGTAGGCATATGCTGACTACATCGGCTTTATCCTTACCCTCAATGAAGGTGTGAAAGGCAAGAAGCTGACCTTCGACTACAAAATCTCTGAGGTAGGCACAGGCAAGGGCCTGCTGCAGGGCCACGTGGGCTGATCATCCATGGCAGGCAGGTTGCAGGCGATGGTTTGCCCCAGCATAGTGCAGTTAGCATTTGTGGACCATACTCCTAATGTGTTAAATCTATGAATAAAATAATATTTATAACTGAAATCAAAGTAAATGTGCAATTTTATAATCTGTATTTTTTCTAATTGGTATTTTTATGAAACTTGAAATTAAAGATGACAAAATGGGCTGGAAATGTGGCCTAGTGCTTGTCTAGCATATGTACAGCCTTGGGTTCCATGCCTAGAGCTGGGAAAAAAAAAAAACCAAACCAAATGCAGTAGATGAGTTCTGTGGAGAGATCATTAGTAGAAACTCGTGGCAACAATGAAAACAAAAACAGGATTAGGTCGCTAGTTCTCTAGAATATCCACCACATACTGAATATGCATTGGCCCTGATTTCGAATCCCAGCACCACAACTCCCAGAGCAAACACGCCTCCTGTCTGTTGGGGTAACTGGCCACCCTATTGAGACACAGTCCTGACTTTGCAGTTGTATCCTTGGGCACTGCTGCTCCAAGCATCTGACAAGATGTATGGACCCTGTTTCCTCAGGCTTCATTCCTAGTAGAAACACCACTGAACAGAGAACACGGGCAGGCTTGTGCTTTAGGGTTCCCCATGTGTAATAGGTGCTCTGATTGAATTAGACACAGACTTGATTTAAGAAAAGGCATGAGCTGGAGCTGGGCATTGGTGGTGCACGCCTTTAATCCCAGCACTCAGGAGGCAGAGGTAGCCGGATCTCTGTGAGTTTCAGGACAGCCTCCAAAACAATATAGAGAAACCCTGTCTTGAAAAACCAAAAGGAAAAAAAAGAAAAAAGAAAAGGCATGAGCTAGAAACAGGTGACCAACCACCTCTACCACTGGAGGGTATAGTCTCCCATGCTGCATGTTGTGGCAATGCCATCTCCCAGAACTAGGGCCCAGGCCTCCAGTGGCCTCTTGGGTTCATGTCCCAGTTGGCCCAGAGCCACCCTGAGCCTCTTATCTCAGGCACCAGTGGCTGAGTGGCCTCTCAGCACTTTGGCTCTCTGCCCTCTAGTTACAGCTGGGGCCTGTTGGGTAAGGTCTGGCCTTGTCCTGGCCTAGTTTCTTCTTCTGTCCTAGGCTGACATTGCACCTTTTTAAAGCCCTATACCAGGTCCCTGGTACAGCCACTTTTTGGCCCTTGTTGGCTGCTGGGTGACATAGTCTGTTTCTTTGAGTATAGGCTGACTGGGAGGATGAGTTTAGCAGTGCCCAGTGTGCTGGAAACATCAAGGGGGAGCTAATTAAAGGAGAATACTGTAATTGCCTCATCAAGGACTAAGCTACCAACTCTTGGGTTGCCATCAATTGCTCCGAGTTTCTATGGGAGTTGTCCTCACTGATCAGGTGTTACATTGGCTGAAGGGCTGTTCTTTTGGCTGGGTCATATTGTGTTTCAGGTTGAGAGTTTGCCATCCCCCACCACCTCCCAGATGAGTGACTTTGCCTCCCCGCCCTTTTTTTTCAGTGCTAGGGCTAGAACCCAGCATTTTGCACATGCTAGGCAAGAGCTCTACATTGAACCACATCCCTGTCCCTTGAGACAGTGTCTTCCTTCCTTCCTTCCTTCCTTCCTTCCTTCCTTCCTTCCTTCCTTCCTTCCTCCCTCCCTCCCTCCCTCCCTCCCTCCCTCCCTTCCTTCATTTCGAGACTGTGTATCCCTGACTGCTAGAACTCACTTTGTAGACCAGGCTGGCTTCAAACTCATAGAGTTCCACCTGCCTCTACTTCCACTGCGGGCCAGAATGAGAAGTTGGTAAGTGTAATTTTAGAGAAGATTTAGTGGTCCATGAAGTTCAAGAGGCAATGCTTTAGGGATGGGAGGGGCACAAATTATTCTTTGTGCCTTGAAGTAGTGGGGTGGGATGGGGTGGTTCCAGTCGAGAATTGACTCCTCTCCAGCACTTCTCTCCCAGCAAGCCAGACAATGGAGGCAGAAGGAGGAGCTGTGAGTCTCTTAATTATCAGCCCAGCTGAGCTAGCTGCTGGATCCAGGCTCCTGCTGGCCTCAAAAGTCACATCCTTTATCCCCTTTAGTGCCTTGTCAGGGTCACAAGCAGAGATCTCCAGGGAGGGAGCCTGGTGTTCCTGCAAGCCCAAGCTGCCATGTGAAACACGCTTTGGTCTGTATTCAGCAGCAGTTCCTAGTCACCTGGTTCCTCACAAAGCCAGCACCACCTCAGCCTACAGGCAGCTCACCTTCCTACCATGCCCCAGCATAGGTGGGAAGGTGGGGAGAGCGGCACTCAGGCCCACTGTTATGCTGTGCAGCTGGGGTCACGGGCCAGCAGTTATCTCGAGTTAGCTCCAGTCCTCACTGCAGGTGTGTGGTACCTAAGATCCCTGCTCCAGTCCTCGCTGCAGGTGTGTGGTACCTAAGACCCTGCTCCAGTCCTCACTGCAGGTGTGTGGTACCTAAGATCCCTGCTCCAGTATCAGGTGGTTTTCCAGCCCCAATCCTGGCCTGTTTCTCCAGGCTGCACCTGTGCCTGGAAGGAACTTGAGAATGGATGCCTGACCTGATTTCCTCTGTAACTAACATTTGATGTGATGATGCCTCTTACACCTGTGACTCCTGTTTTTCTTCCTGGTGCTATTTGTGGGCATGTCACAGAGACATGACTTCTCAGGCTGCTGGCTCGTTTTGTACAGATGGCTCCAGACTTTCACCCAGATAGCACTGCAGAACTGTGGACCAGTATTGTCTGTGGCAGTGAAATATGAGGAAAACCTAGACATTTAACAGTGAGGAACATTAAGGAGGTCACAGCATTCTGTGTAGACACTGGTGTGGAATGAGATTGGGGGTGAGGGAAGCAGGCTAAGGCAGTTGTCCATGATCCAATTTCAGGGTCTGCAGGTATTAAGTATGCCCTATTGCTCAGTGGCAGGCTCTTGTACCTTAGGAGGTATAGATTCTTGCCTCACATTTGGAACAAAGAAACAGAAGCTCGCGTCTCCCTGTAGCTCTGTGCTATTATAGTAGAGGGTTGGCTGTCTCCCTGTGGACTTTTTGAGCAGGGGAGCACACTAGAGAAAACCAGCCAGAATGTTAAGATGTGGGCGATGTTTGTTTTGGGAGGTCAGGATTACTGGATGTATTGGTTGTCTTGTTGCTGTGGTCAGGACCTGACAGGAAGCAGCTTAAGGGAGGGGTTATTCTGACTTGAAGTTGAGGTGCAGTTCATCATGGCAGGGAAGGTAGAACCAGCTGAAGGGACACGAGGTTGGTGTTCACATGGTATCCACAGCCAGGAAGCAGAGCGATGAAAGCTGGTGCACAGCTGGATTTCTCCTTTTACCCATTTCATTTAGTCTGGGATCCCATCTTCATTTAGAGTGGGTCTTCTCAGCTCAACGATCTGGAGCATGCCCTAGGAACATACACAGAAGTAAATGGGTCATGCTGACAATGAAGATTGTCTTAGGGTTTCTATTGCTGTTTTAAAGCAAGGTAACCAGCAGGGCGTGGTGACACACTCCTTTTATCCCAGCACTCAGGAGGTAGAGGCAGGCAGATCTCTGTGAGTTCAAGAAGACCAGCCTGGTCTACAGAGTGAGTTTCCAGACAGTCAGGGTCACACAGAGAAATCCTGTCCTGAAAAACAAACAAAAAACCCCTGAACAAAAGCAGCTTTGGAGAGGAAATGTTTTATTCAAGTTACAACTCTGATGTCATAGTCCATCAATCACTGAGGGAAGTCAGAGCAGGAACTGCAGCAGAGAGGCCATGGAGGAGTGCCGCTGGTTTGTTCTGATGGCCCGCTCAACTTGTTTCTTTCTTTCTTTTTTTTCTTCCTTTTTTGGTTTTTTTTTTTTTTTTTTTTTTTTTTGGGACAGGGTTTCTCTGTGGCTTTGGAGGCTGTCCTGGAACTCGCTCTGTAGACCAGGCTGGCCTCGAACTCACAGAGATCCGCCTGCCTCTGCCTCCCGAGTGCTGGGATTAAACGCGTGCGCCACCAACGCCTGGCTCCTTTTTGGTTTTTAAGACGAGGTTTCTCTGTGTAGCCATGGCTGTTTTAGAACTCACTCTGTAGACCAGATTGGCCTTGAACTAAGAGATCTGGCCTTCTCTACCTCCCAAGTGCTAGAATTAAAGGTAGTGAGCTACCACTGCCCAGCTTCAGCTTGTTTCTTTTTTTTTTTTTTTGGTTTTTTGAAACAGGGTTTCTCTGTGGCTTTGGAGGCTGTCCTGGAACTCACTTGGTAGTCCAGGCTGGTCTCGAACTCACAGAGATCCGCCTGCCTCTGCCTCCCGAGTGCTGGGATTAAAGGCGTGCGCCACCAACGCCCGGCCTTCAGCTTGTTTCTTACAGAACCAGGACCATGTGTCCAGGGTTAGCACTGCCCACAGTAAGCTGGGCCCTCTCACATCAGTCATCAATCAAAAAATAGACTACAGCCTTGCCCAGAGGCCAGTCTAGTGGAACATTTTCCCAGTTAAGGCCCCTCTTCCCAAGTGACGCTAGCTTTGTCTAGCTCTGCTGTAAAACCAGCCAGCACAGAGATGAAGTACCACGTTGCATTTCTGTTCTCTCCTGTTCTTACGCCCGTGTTGTTCAGTGAAAAACTTCAGTCATATCTGCTTTAACAGATTGGGGCTGGCATTCACGCCTATCTAGTGGCCCCTCCTGGATAGGCTGGCTGGAGAAACAGAACTATCCATGACACTGTCCTGTTCAGCCACGTGTGATTCCCTCTCTGAAGGGAAGGTTGCTCCCTGACCCTCCTTTATATTGAGGACAGTTGGGAATGAGGGTGACAGTTGGGCCTAGGGGCTACCTTCCACAGCAGTTGAGACTTCCTTGTGTGGCTCCAGCAGGGCCACCAGTCACTGGTGTGGTTCTTGTCACCTTCACAGGCCATCGAGAAGCTGGTGGCTCTTCTCAATACACTGGATAGGTGGATTGACGAAACCCCGCCGGTGGACCAGCCTTCCCGGTTTGGAAACAAGGCCTACAGGACCTGGTATGCCAAACTTGATCAGGTGAGACTGTCTGTGTGCAGGCTGGCTGGGCCAGGCCAGTGGGAGCACTAACTAGTAGGGCTCCAGATGGGGCAAGGTCTGTGTCCAAAGCAGGCCTGTCGCCCTCCCAAGCATATAAGATCGGGTAATTTGTTAGAATGGCAGTTTTATTTACCTAGATTACAAAATCATCCTCTGTCCCAACCAGTCTTCTGGGAACTACAGGTATGGCTACACAGTCCCCTGTACGAGGCTGCTTATTAAGTCATTTTATTAGCAGCAGATTGGAAATGACTCACATGGTAAGAGGACAAGTTAACTATACTAGACCTTTCATACTGTGACATACTATGCAGCTCTGAAAAGGATAAGGAAGTCAGGTGGTAGTAACAGACACCTTTAATTCCATTACTCAGGAGACAGAGGCAGTTGGAAACCCACCCCACCAAAGAAAAAGGAAAAGCTGGCCAGGGGTGAGCACCCTTGAATTTTGAGTGTCAGAAGCAAGTGGATTCCTGTGAATTTAAGACCAGCCTGATCTATATAACAAGTTCCAAGCCAGCCACGGTTATATAGTGAGACCGTATCTTTAAGAAAACAAAAACAACATAACTTTTAAAAAGTTCCACAGTTGTTGGGCGGTGGTGGCGCATGCCTTTAATCCCAGCACTCGGGAGGCAGAGGCAGGTGGATCTCTGTGAGTTCGAGGCCAGCCTGGTCTACAGCCTCCAAAACAATACAGAAACCCTGTCTCGAAAAAAACCACCAACAACAAAAAAGTTCCACAGTCTTTAAAAAACTCTTACCAGGGCTGGAGAGATGGTTCAGAGGTTAAGAGCACTGACTGTTCTTCCAGAGGTCCTGAGTCAATTCCCAGCAACCACATGGTGGCTCACAACCATCTGTAATGAGATCTGGTGCCCTCTTCTGGCCTGCAGACAGATATGGAGGCAGGATGTTGTATTCATAATAAATAAATAAATCTTTAAAAAAAACAAAAAACAAAACAAAAAAAACCTCTTAACCACTTAAAAGGTCCCAGTTCTCTTTTAAAAAGTTATATGCTTTTGTAGTTGAAAAGGGGAATGATCAAAGTGTGGTTATGATGAGCTCAAAGCAGAACCAAAATGCCGTAGTCTAAAAAGCTCAGCTTCAGGCCAGGCAGTGGTGGCACACACCTTTAATCCCTGCATTCAGGAGGCAGGGCCAGTTCAAGTCCAGCCTGGTCTACAGAGTGAGTTCCAGGACAGCCTTCAAAGCTCCAGAGAAACCTGTCTCAACATCCCCCCCCAAAAAAAACAAAAAACAAAAAGCAAAAAAGTTAGCTTCTTAGATCTGGAGTTTACCCTTGATCTCCCGGCTCCGCCGGGCTCAGGCAGCCTTGCGTCACCAGCTCTGCTGTCTGCAGCACGCCCACCCCACTCCTTGTACAGGCCTTGCATGTCCACTGTCCTGGGTCTCCCTGCAGTGAAGGCTGCACCGCCACTAACAGCCCCTCACCCCAGCCTCTCTTCAGGGACTCTGACCTCACCACTTGATGTCAAGTCTCAGTTTCTCTCCTCCGTGACTCCTCATACTTTCAAAATCATACCACATGGAGACTCTTACACATTGCTCAGTTCAACTTCCAGTGGACATGCAGCCTTACCCAGATCACAGCTTGTCTATACAGTTTGTCTGGTGAAGTATTTCCCAGAAAAGTTCTCAATGATGCTGATCTCATATCAACTACAGTCAGTTTCTCAGCACTGGATGACCAGAAACTATCACATGAACAGCCTCTATAGAATCTGCTTCTTTGTGAAGCTTCACAAGCCAGGCCTCCGTTGTCTGCCTTCTTCTCAACAGTCTTCCTACAGAACAGCCTATGAAGCTCTGAGGACTCAATGTCTTTTCCAGTTCAATGTTCTAACACCTCCACAGTCTTCCAACAAAACATGGTCATTTCCATTGATGCAACACCCTACTTCTGGTACCAGTTTCTGTTCTTTTTTTTTTTTAATTATTATATATACAGTGTTCTGCCTGCATGTATTTCTGTGCACCAGATGTCATTACAGATGGTTGTGAGCCACCGTGGTTGCTGGGAATTGAACTCAGGACCTCTAGAAGAGCAGCCAGTACTCTTAACCACTGAGTCATCTCTCCAGCCCCCAGTTTCTGTTCTTTTGGTCATGGTGTATATTGGCAGTAACAGAAAAGAGACAAACTGAAATAATAGGAAATTGTTTTAAATCCAAAGCCAGAATTCATTCACTGTTTTTTGTTTTTGTTTTAAATGAAGCTCATGTTGGTAACTCAAATTGCAGTTTTTAAAATCCTCTGTGGCTGGAGAGATGGTTCAACAGTTAAGAACATGTGTTACTATTTTTGAGACAGCCTTTCTAGTTAATCTGGGCTGTTCTAGAACTTGCTTTGTAGACCAGGCTGGCCTCAAACTCACACAGATCCTCTTTCCTCTGCCATCTGAGCACTGGCATTAAAGACGTGTGCCACCATGCCCAGCCATGCAGGGGCTACTGTTGTAGAGAACCTAGTACCTATACTGGGTTGTTGTGGGAATTCATTCCACCAATAGCTTTGGAATAGCAGCCTTAGGGTGTGGCTTCTTGTCTTTTAAAAGGAGAGATAGGAGTTCTCTCTTAGGTTGAGAATACTGGGTCAGGCTGCTTGAAGTAGCATGTGGCCAGTTCCCATCTCCCTTTCGCAGAAGGACTTTGCAACTGGTTATCCTTGTCCTGTATCTGTAAGTCTGTTTTCCCCATAGCATCTCGTGTGTGTGTGTGTGTGTGTGTGTGTGTGTGTGTGTGTGTGTGTGTGTGTGTGTGTGTGTGTGTGATTCTAGTAACACTGTGTTGCTCATGACTACCTGCAGCTGCAGTTCTAGTGGATCCAACACCCCCTTCTGGACTCCCAGGGCACTGCATGCCTGTGATATACATATATGCACTCAAGGCATACACAGTACAATCTAGAGTTACATTAACTTGATAGATGCTGAGGAGTGACAGCAGAGCCATTAGAAGTCTTTGTTTTCCATATCTAAGCCATTATATTTCTTTGATTTTTGTTTTTTTTGAGACAGGGTTTCTCTGTGTAATCCTGGCTATCCTAGAACTCACTTTGTAGACCAGGCTGGCCCCGAACTCCCAGAGACCTGCCTGCCTCTGCCTCTCCAGTGCTGGGATTAAAGGTGTGCATCACCTCCACCCGGCAAGCCATTATATTTCTATTAGAGAAAGCCCTGCAGTGAGTTGCTGGCATCTGAGCCTGGGTGTGTCAGCCAGGGCTCATGGGTATTGTGTGGTGTGATGGCATACATGACAGCACTCACAGTGCCCGGGCGCGTGCTGTGTGCTCAGAACCAAGGCTGTAGTGGCATGGGTTGCAGCAGAGGGGAGCATTGCCAAAAACACCTTGGTTGTTCAGGCTGTTGCCACCCTCACATTCAGCTGCCTCTACCCACAGTTTAAGGAGCTGTGTTCTCAGCTCATCTGGGTTACAGACTCAGACAAGCAGACAAATAGAGCTGAGCCCACTGTGCTGATGTACAGGCCTTGTATTCTCTGAGTTGGGGGGGGTTAGAAACGCATGCTTGTGCTGCTCATATTTGCAGAAAAAACATCCAATAGAGTCCAGGAAGGTCATAAAGCTTTGTACTGTGTCATACCCCAGCTGTGGATTTTGAGGGCAGTGGAGAATGGGGTGGATGGAGACTCCCATGCTACCTCTGGACTCTGGTGGCATGTGGGCTTGGTTTTTCAGAAGATATACATGAAGTTAGAATAGCTTTACATCTTGATGTACCCACCACCCACCACCAAGTCACGTTGAAGAACATTCTAGCTCTCTGGCAGCACCTTTTAAACTTGAGAGAGTTGGTATCCCCCAGACTATCTTGATTACTAATCCATACATTGATTTTATTTGCATGTTTTGAATCTCATGTTTTGTAGCCTCCTTTACTTGATGTTCTGTATAGGTCAGGGTCATCGTGCTGTCACTTGTGGTCTATCCTTCCCTTTGTTTGTAGCATTCTGTTGCAGAAAGACATACAATTTTATTCATTCTGTTATTTGGGGATATTCTAGTTGATTTTTTGTTTTGTTTTGCTTTTTGTTTTTTTTTCTGAGACAGGGTTACTTTGTGTAACCGTGGCTGTCCTGGAACTCACAGAGATCAGCCTCTGCCTCCCAAGTGCTGGATTAAAGGCCTGCATCACCACCGACTGGCATTTAGTTGAATTTTTATGTTTTGGCTACTGTAAATAATGCTGTTAGGATCATTTCATGTGTCTGTCATGGCAGACTTGTGGCCTGCACTCTTACAGCCCTGGGAATGGAACCAACAACTATGGGAACAACAGGCCTGATGCCCCATAACCTCTGTGGGCCTTTGATGGGCTACCACATGGGAGGATTAGCTGTCTTGCTCCCAGAGTCACCACAGGTGTCTCTTTGTGTTTTTTTTTTTCCCGAGACAGGGTTTCTCTGTATTGTTTTGGAGGCTGTCCTGGAACTCACTCTGTAGACCAGGCTGTCCTCGAACTCACAGAGATCCGCCTGCCTCTGCCTCCCAAGTGCTGGGATTAAAGGCGTGCGCCACCAACGCCCGGTAAGGTGTCTCTTTGTTATTTCCCCCTATTTCTGTGGCCAGTCAAAATTGGGAAACAGGCCAGGCCGACAGCCTGGACCCCAGGCAGATGCTGCTCCAGGGTGCCTGCTCCTTCAGATACTTCCTAATCTGTTGCCATCACTGTGTGTCTCTTTTGTTATCAGGAAGCAGAGAATTTGGTGGCCACAGTGGTCCCCGCCCACCTGGCAGCTGCTGTACCTGAAGTGGCAGTTTACTTGAAGGAGGCTGTAGGGAACTCCACACGCATTGACTATGGCACAGGTATCTGCTGCTGCAGGCCTTTGGGTGACGCAGGCCATGCTGCTTTCTTTATGTTGCCTGGGCTGCTCTCTTCATGCTCTACACAGGCACCCCTGCATGCCCTCTATCCATCCACCCGACCAGCAGAGAGAGAGAGAGAGAGAGAGAGAGAGAGAGAGAGAGAGAGAGAGAGAGAGTGTGTGTGTGTGTGTGTGTGTGTGTGTGGCAGGGGTGGGGTGGGGTGAGGTGGGGGAGTGGGGGGTGGGAGGGTAGTGTGACTCTATGCTCTATTTTCTTCCACCAGGTGGCGCTACTGCCATAGGCATGGCACCTTCTGAGAGTTGGTTTCAGTTGAGTTTGAAAGCTGGCTTCTGATTAAGCTCTCCGTCACACTAGTGGTAGTTCATGGAGCACTTACTCCAGGCAGCTGCCTATAGAAGCTGAGAAAAGAGAGACCCACACTCTCCCTGACACCTCTTGTCTCTGAGCTCTTTTCTTTGTGCTGATGATCTTTGGCTCTGCCATCCATTTCAGCCAAGCTGTTGTGGTACCTTAAAGAGACATGTTCTCTAGGTCAGAGATGACCTTTATAGCCCAGGAGACCCTGCTGTGGTAAGGGCTTCCTTTCCTCCTACTTGCTTGGGGAAGGAGGGCCAGAGGGAGCCTGGTTCCAGACCAGGCCCTGGAGAAGGCTTCTCTGGAGCCAGAACCTGAGAGAACTTTGTCCTTTGCTCTCTCTGCTGGGAACAGTTCCAAGACTCTGGATGTGGACCCAAGTAGGAGGAGGCAGAGGCAGGTGGACCTCTGTGAGTTCAAGGCCAGCCTGGTCTACAGAGCGAGTTCCAGGACAGCCAGAGGTATATAGTTTCAACCTCCATCCCCCACCCCAAAGACCCAACTAGGTACACCCCTCCCACCTCCCACCCCCTGACAGGGTCTCTGTGTAGCCCTGGCTGCCTGGAACTCGCTCTGTAGACTAGGCTGGCCTTCTACTCACAGAGATCTGTCTGCCTCTACCTCCCGAGTGCTGAGATTAAAGGCGTGCGCCACTACTGCCTTGTAAGGAAAAGGTTTCTAGCGCAATGGGTCATTTAGAAATTTACAGGTGAAAGTAACCGATCATATGTGCTTCCAGATTCTGTAGACTCTCTGTTCTGTAGAAATAGCCTGAAACACTTGGCTTCACCTTCTTCCAGATAAGGAATGGGGTCCAGGGTCCAGCCAGTGCCTTCTGCAGAGCTAACTGTTGCTGGTGACTGTGACAGGGAGAGAAAAGAGGGTGTCTTAGCCTTGTAGTTTGTCCACATGTTCCCATTGCTCTTGGGACAGTGTCCACGCTTCTCACCATGGCTATTCAGGCCATCGGTGAGAGACTTCTCCCTCTCCCTCTGCTCAAGACAACACTGCTTACTTGCCTTGGGCCTTTGCATGGGCTTTGCTTCTGCCTATTTCCTGCTGTCCTTTTTCCTGGCCATTCCCCATTCCCTGTTGTTTCAAACATTTCCTTAGGGGAAAGCCTTGAACTCTGAAACCAGGGTTTCCCTGGGATGTGACTCAGGTACCCACCTGTATCCCACATAGCTAGATTGACAGTAGTAACTGTATATTTAATGTTTGTGGCTTCTGACAGATCATGAGCTCTTTGAGGCAGGACTCCTTTGTCACTGGGAGCCAGCATGGTAGGTGCTCAATAAGGTGGGATTGCTAAGGTGTCAAACCTACAGAGTAAGATGCAAGTTCCTGTGCAGGCAGTTGACCTCAAGGCCCGTCGGGAAATGGCCGGTGCTGTGGTTCTGGAAGTCCCAGGTCTTCTGGACAGGGAAGAAGCTTCATCTCAGTATGGGCTTTCCTCCTCAGAAGAGTGGAACGCTGGGGACTTTTTCTGGAGGTGTCAACTCCTTCTGGAGGTGTCAGCTTGAGCTGTTCTTCTTCCCCAGGGCACGAGGCTGCCTTTGCTGCTTTCCTCTGTTGTCTCTGCAAGATCGGGGTGCTCCGGGTAGACGACCAGGTGGCTATTGTCTTCAAGGTGTTTGATAGGTGAGAGTCGGCTTGGAGGGGAAGAGATGGTGAGCCCCTATACCTGGTGTTCACCGTTGGAGGCCTATACAACTCAGTTAATTCCCTATAGTGTAGCAGCTGCCTCCCTCTTACAGAAGAGGAAGCAAACAGGTTTCACTGAGGTCATAGTCCACCAAAGTAGGAGGCAGATTTTATGGGCAGCACAAGTATGTGGTGTAGTTGGATTTTCTTTGGACTGCCAAAGATATATATAAAGACACGGAGACTTATTACTAGTCATGGATGCTCAGCCTTAGCTTGTTCTTGTCCCACCAGCTCTTATAACTTAATTAACCTATTTCTCTTCATCTCTGTTTTGCCTCAGGGCTTTTTACCTTTCTTTCAGTTTGTACATCCTACTTTCCTGCTTCCTCCTTGTCTGTCTGTCTGTCTGTCTGGCCCTTGGTGTCTACTTTTCTTTCTTTCTGAGCTTACCTCTTCTCACTTACTCTCCCTGCCCCAAAAAAGTCCTGCCTACACCTCCTCCCTCATTATTGACTGGTCAGCTTTTTATTAAACTAGTCAGGTGCTTTAGGCAGGCAAGGGCAGGCAAGGTAAAACAACACATCTCTACATAAATGCAACACATCTTTACATAGTTAAACAAATATTCCTCAACCTAAAGAAATGTAACACATTTTTGCATAGTTATACAGATATTCCACAAGAGTGCAAAAACCTGCTCTGAGCTGCAGTGGTCCTGGGCACACTGGCATGCTGGTGTTGAGACACAGGACAGCTCTGCAGGTGACTCAGGCATACAGTCTGATGTCTGACTTACTGGATTTCACCCACTTTCCAGTGGTACCTAGGTTAGAGAAAGGGATTGCTGCCTTACTACAAGTTGCCAGGGTTGACACTGAGCCCGGTCTCCAGGTGGTGGTTTCTTTCTTTCCCTGACAGAAGATGTGTGAGGGAAAGAGAAAAGGCCCACTGGCCCTTTCAGAAAGCTTCACCGTTCTCCCTACCCTTCCTGTGCTGAAGGACACCGTTTGTTACCTTCTCACCTTTGTGTCTCCTTTCTCCCCCCACCCCCTCCACAGGTACCTTGAGGTTATGCGGAAGTTGCAGAAGACGTACAGAATGGAACCTGCCGGCAGCCAGGGCGTGTGGGGTCTGGATGACTTCCAGTTCCTGCCCTTCATCTGGGGCAGCTCACAGCTCATAGGTACTCCAAGTCCCTCCTTTCCTTCCTCCTACCCAGGGCACAGAGTGACAGCTTGGAGACCAGCTGTGGATGGAGGCTGGTTGCTGTTGACTTAATGCTTCCAGCCAGTGTGGTCATCTGGAGGGGGTGATGGTAGAGTGCCTCCAAAATAACGGAGAGTGGCGTGGACTGGAGACTGGTGTGGATGCGTGCAGCTCCTGGCAACAGCAGCTGTAGGGTCTTAAGTTGAAAATTAGGGTCTCTCCTGATTTGCCGATCATCAGTGCCGTCCACCGTTGTTATTGAACCCTGTGTGTGGGGGGCTATGGGGAGTCGCTGCCAATGCTGTTCCCTGTGTGCCCCTCAGTCTGCTCTGCCGCGCTCCTCACTTTGAGATGGTTGTGCAGGCGTGACCAGCATCTTGGGATCTGCCATTGGGCGGGGTTAGGGGTCATCTTTCGTTCCATGGAGAATGAACTGCTACTAATTAATATTCACAAATGTCTAATGGCTGAGAATTTGCCATTCTAGATACCCCACCAGTCTTCTCAGGGTCTCAGCATCTGGTGGGGTGGAGGGGGATGTTGTGGCATAGATGCGGAGCCTGGAATCCAAGGAGCCTGCATCCAGGGGCTCACTGCCACGTGCTGAGTTGAGTTTGGTTGCTAGGACATTGCATAAGCACTGTAGTGTGTGCTTCCCACACCATGGTGTCTTCTTGACATAGTAAGTGTGTATAGTTAACTCGCCTGGGGACACTTTATCCTGACGTCTGGAACTCACCTGTCTAAGTGCTGGGACTAAAGGTGTATACTACCACACCCCGCTGAGGTAACTTTTAAGGAAGATGTACACTCTAATGGTGCTTGAAAAGCAGGGGCCGGTGCTGACAACCAGGAACAGACTTGTCCTGGTTAAGTGGGTGCACAGTGCTCAGCTGGGTCTGTTCCCTCTGCTGACTGGCAGCACAGGGGCTTTTGTGCACCAGCGTCACCACAGGCACATACAGTGGGCACCTCATTAGGTGGCAGGGATTTCTCAGTCCCATTGTGATCTTTATACACTAGGCAAGCACTCTACCACAGCTCTGCCCTGCACACCATCACAATGGCTATACAATACCTGGGGGGCATCTTGTGCTCAGGCTGGGTCAGGGCTGTTCTAAAAGCCAGGCCTCTGCTCTTCCCAGACCACCCCCACCTGGAGCCCAGACATTTTGTGGATGAGAAGGCAGTGAGTGAGAACCACAAGGACTACATGTTCCTTCAGTGCATCCTGTTCATCACTGAGGTGAGAGCCATTGCAGCCCGGTAGCCAGCCTTGGCTACCAGTGCGGGGACACCAGACCACCAGCGCCTGCTTGCCCAGCCATCGCCGTCTCCCAGACCCGAGAGGACGCTTTCATTGTTTGGTTTGAGTTAGATCCTCACTGTGCTGCCCAAACTGGCCTTAAATTCATGGCAATCTTCCTGCCTCGACCTGCTACCTGCTGGGATTAATTACTAAATAAGCAGCCATACTCAACTCCTACAAGGCTCCTGAGCTGATGGGTTAAGTTGTAGTTACTAGCTAGACTTGGTGATCGGCAGCAGGCCTGAAAGGGTGGCAGGCATTGTGGTGGGGCAGGGGTGGGGGGAAGATCATCCATCAGGGCTCAGGGATGAGGTCTGTAGAGCCATGTGCTATAGATTCAGGCTGGAATCCCTAGAGGACCTGTAGTGATGGGAGTAGTTAGCTGTCTGCCTTTGTCTGTGCTTCAGCAATGTGCCAGAGGTGAAAACAAGCAGCCTGTGCTGACAGTCACTGGGCCCTATACCACCTGTCTCACTGAGGCAGGATTCCCTATAGTGTGGTGCTGGAACATTCCCCAAGGTGGCCCTGGGACTCTGAAAACTCATGGCTTTGGCCTCATGCCAGCTTTCTTACTTAGAATCTTATGGACACGAGCCAGGAGCTCATTAAGGAGCCCACAGTCTCAGGACCTTGCTTCTAGGAGATGTTGGACCGTTTCATTCTCCCACCTATACCTGCAAACTCTCTCACCCCAAATTTACAAAGTTCTGTCTTCCTTCTCTTCCAATGACTACTGCATGTCTGCTCTGTGGAAATGCACATGGACTCCTGCCCATGGACACTCTTTCCTGTTCCAAGCCTCTGAATGGGGAAGAGCCTGGTTAGCAGCCTTGACTCTTAAGTTCCTTCTGGTCAGCATTCACCTCAAGCTTCAGCCAAGCTCCAGGGGTCAGAGGGGAATGACACATTTTTTCCAAGTCAGCAAATGGAGCCAGGACTGATGGCTGGGCGGCCACAACTTGGTTCTTGGAGATATGCTGCCTTCAGCAGTGTGGTGGGCTCAAGGTCAGAAGGACTTGGGGGCAGCCTGGCTCACTGCCTTGAAAGCCAGCTTTAGAGGGCTCCTTCAGAGTGGAGTGCTGGGCTGGGGAGCTCTAGGACGAGGTGGAAGAAGTGGAGGATGGAGCCACACATTCTGCAGAGCTTGCTGCTTGAGGCCAAAAGCCTGTTTCTGCTTCCCCTGGCAGCCTGCCAAGCCCCTTGCATCCTTGTCAATAATTCTAACAAGGAGGCTAGCCAGGCTGGGCTTCGGGGACTGGGAATCAATCTCATGCTAAGACTTAGCATGTTTGTTTGTTTCTGCTGGTGGAAAACCCCAAAGTTTGGAACAGAGGACCCCATAGAAGATAGCTCTAGGTAACCACAAGGTGGCACTCAAAGTCCATTGAGCTCAGCCGGCTTCTGTGACCGAGTGGGAAGAGTGGGAGGGGTGGCTTTGTGGCTGTTGTGCACCTTCTCTGCAAGGCTTGGTTTCCTCTTCATTCAGGGTCATGCTCTGGTTGGTTGCTAGGCACTGTGGTAGCAAGGGCCCTTTTGCCTGCCTGGGTTGGATGGTTGCCGTTGCAGCTCTCTTGTTTCGAAGATCCCCCACCAGCCTCCCATGCACTTCAGAGGAGTGAGCAGCCTTTTATGACCTCTGATCAGTGAGTGAGTAGCTCGGTTAGGATCACTCAGGCCCTGGAGCACAGCAACCTAGAGTTCTATGAGGTGTTCAGGGCTCTGTTGCCTCTGGAGACCTGAAATCCCTACTGGTTAGGCAAACCCAAGGAAGTTGGGAAGGAAACTACTTCCTATTGCTGGGCCTCGTGTTGACTGCTTTCATAGCCCTGGGCATGGCAGCTGAGGAAGCCCACCTTGCAGGGCTCCTACTGCTTCAGGAAATGCAGCCCTGGCGCCTTTAAGAGCCCAGGGCAGGCAGGAAAAGAATTTCAGTTTCAATCTGGCTTCTAAATTTGGAGTTTTGGGAAGGGAGGGATCAGATTTCAGCTGGAAGGGAAGGAGCTGACAGGAAGGCGCTGTGCTGAGCCTCCCCCACCCCTGCCCATCCCCCTCAGTTACTGACAGAGGAACCATTTACAAAAGGCCGATTCTCTGGGGAGTGGAGAGGCAGGAACGCAGCGTCTGTGAGTAATTTCCTGCTCAATATGGCTGCTCTGACTCACACGATTCCCCTGGGGTCACTGCGGGACTGCAGTTGCTTGCTTGTTCTCGCTCTTTCTCTTCTCCCTTTGTGGCTAGAATGAGCTAATTTTTTTTTGTCTTCTCACCCCCAATTCCTTTTTTCCCCTCATCTGTTTTTTCTTTCTCTGAGTTGCAGAACCTCCTTTTGAAGGACTTGGGAGACCTGAGGCACTGAAGGCCTGGGGGTGGGGTAGCCTCTCTTGAGACCTACTGGGCCTCACAACTCTGCAGCCTGCCAGACAGCCCTTTCTGAATGTCCCTTGCTACTGAGTTAGGCTGGTCCTGCAGGCCGTCTTAGTGTCCCTCTGTGTCTTTGCCCCAGAGCCCTTGCTGAGGAGGCCCTTGAGCACCTGCCAGGAGACAAAGCAGTTGGCATTGGCTCAGAGGGTCTGCAGGGGACCCTGGTGCACAGCTCCAGCAGTCTCACGCCTCTGGCCGGACAAGTGAACAAGACAAGGGTGGAGGAGTAGATAAGGCGGAGTCTTTGCAGGAGTGTTGGGAGAAGTCTTAAGAAGCCCAGGGCCCTGGAAACCTTGGTGCCTCTCTTGGTTCCTGGTCAAGGAAAGACTTCACGAATGCCTGGTAGAGAACAGGGCTGGTTTTAGAAGCCTGGTGACTTCACCACTGGGGAGGGGCCACTGAGACAGGCTCTCACTGGGGACTTTTGCCAGGGGAGGAGGAAGGGGAAAAATGGCAGTGTTTCTAATTTAAATCTGGAGGTTGCTCTTACTGAAGTAGAGGCCTGTGGGTGGGAATGGACCACCAGGTGAAGCCACAGAAAGTAGCCTGTGATGCCCCAGTACAAAGAATGTTTGAGTTCGTCCTTTCTCCTTGGACTAGCCCCTACCTCACCCCCACATCCATATACAGCCTCTTCTGGAACCTTCCACTGACTAAGATCCAAGTCTTGACTTCCTTGCCAGACTCAGTCACTTTGTTTTTCAGAGTCTTTCTCTGTAGCCTGGGGCTGGATGCTGAGCCCTGTTCTCAACATAAATGCTGCCTGTAAACTGGGAAGGGAAGGAGGAGGGTGTGGCGAGCTGCATGGTTAATAAATACAACTGTACTGGCCTTGCGCTATCCCTGGCAGAGTCCACTCAGGACACAGGCTTCCCGTTCCCCGTGTTGCGGATCTGATGTCACAGGAAGTGCTCTGGACCTGTAGTGTTTCTCTGCCTTCCTGGAGTCAGGTTCTTGAGCAAGAAGGACCATAGTGACGGACTGTCTGTGTCCCTGCTGATGTGTTGCCGTGGTGATTTTTTGCCCTCCTCTCCACCTGGCTAAACAGACGGTCCTCCTGTACTGCTCTGGAAGTGTGACCTCCTTCTTGTGCTCTCGTTTTTCTTCCCTCTATGCACTGTGCTGAGGGTCTCCACAGCGCCCTCCCGTAGCTCTCTCTCACCCTCAGGTCTGCCTGGCAGGTGCAAATAAACTCCCTACAGGGTGGCAAGGCAGTGGCTGCCATCTGAGTGGGAACATATCCTACTCTCCCAGGTGGGGATTGTGTTTCCCTAGGGTTGCTAACTTGATTGGTGTTGGGAATGGAGCCTGTCTTATGTCTGTGGGAAAGAAAGGTAAGTGGAGGATGTGGGCAAGAGGTTATAGTTTTCAGCAGGCTTTACAAGTCAAGTCCCCTTATCCCGCCCCCATCTCATGTATGTGTGTTCTTGTGTGGGGTAGACCCCTGGGTGGCCTCTGCCTCTCTAGTTCCTGGACTTTGTTTTCCAGATGAAGACCGGCCCCTTTGCAGAGCACTCCAACCAGCTGTGGAACATCAGTGCCGTCCCCTCTTGGTCCAAAGTGAACCAGGGCCTCATCCGTATGTATAAGGCGGAGGTGAGTAGGGTCTGGCCAGCATGCTTGCCCCTGCTGTCACTTAGTCCTGGGGCTGAGTTCAAGACTACTGATTCTCTCTGAAACGTGGGGACCTCAGAACCTGGTGGGACGTCACAAGGCCCAGGCAGAGGCCACCTCAACTCTGCATAGCTTAAGGACAGAAGCAGCGCTCGCTCGCTGCTGGAGAAGAGGTCGGATGGCTGGAGGCTGAGTTTCTCTCCCAAAGTAACCAGGGCATCCTTGGGGTGGGTGTGATCCTGGAACCACTATCAAAAGTGGGCTATCCTCCTGTAGAAGGTGACTAGGAAGGGGGGGGGGGTCAGAAGTGGTCACTAGCATTCTTTAGTGGGAAGGGTAGGGTGTAGGTGTTCTCCCTGCTTTCAGCTCACAGATCTGTTGGGAAGGACCTTGGCTGGGACACTCTCCCTGCTGAAGGTATCTGCCCTCCCATACTGTCCTGCATGGAACCGGAAGAAGACATCTTCCTGCCTGTCTGTGCTGCTGGCCCTCCCGCAGCTTGAGCACACTGGTCCCCGGGACTACTTGTCTTTGACAGGTGTAGCCCCCTCTGCCCCACCCCCATCTCACTAACAGCCTCTCAAGTACTGCCCTGCAGCTGCCCATCTCTGACTCTTGACATCATCCCTTCTCTTCTGGAGAAGTCTGCTTCACGGTGCCCAGAGCTCACCCCATCCGTCACCAGAGGCAGGATAACGGGAGGGGTCTAGAGGCCAGTTGGGTGGTAGTGCGAATGTTTCCCTCTGATCTGGTCCTTGAATTGACCCTGACGGGGGAGTTAATAGAAGATGGTCTGACCAGGCCTAGGCCGGCTCTCTTCTGTTCTTCCCTGGTGACCATCTTCCTCTAGACTTCACATCCTATGTTTAGGCTTCAGCCCACGTAGCTGTCATCTGGGAAGCCATTCCTGGAGCTGCCCAGACATTTACCGGCTCAGCATGCCAGCTCCAGCGCCTGGGCACTACCCTTGGTCCTGTCTCCACAGCCTTCCTTCTGCTGATTCCCAGTGGGATCAGAAAAGACCACCCCACTGCTGGGGAGTGTCAGGTCAGCATGGACGGTGTGCAGCTCCCCTCATAGCAAAGGCAGGGCTCCAGCTGCCTCCTTGTTTACAGTCATAAATGCTGGCCTTGGGTGTCTTCAGACCTGTCTTGATTCAGCTTCCTAAGGGGAGGGCCAGCAAGTGTCCTCCCTTCAGAAGCAGGAGATCTGCAGGCCAAGGGAGGAGCAGATAAGATACACAGTGGTGGTGTGACACACAGGCCTTGGCATCCTTGACCTGAAGGGATTGCTAGGTGTCCCTAGTTGTTGACTGAAAAGTGGTTGTGACTGACTGGACATTCACCTGGTGTATGCAGCAGGCTGGGTTTGCAGTGTAACTCTGCAACTTGTGAGGACCTACAGGCTTTGTAGGACCCAGTTCTTTTGTGTGTGGGGGGGGGTTTGGGGTGGGGTGGTCAAGACAGGGTTTCTTCATGTAGCCCTGGTGTCCTGAAACTCAACCCTGTGCACTAGACTGTCCTCAAACTCACAGAGATCCACCTGCCTTTGCCTTCCGTGTGCCACCGCTGCCCACCAGTACCCAGTTCTTATTGGTGCGTTTATCTCTGGTCCCTGAGAATGGGGGGCTATAAGCCCCTGCTTAGAGGGCCCAGAAAATGACCTACTTTCTCAGTCCAGTTCTCTGTCTATAGGGAAGGCCCCTTGAGGCTCACTAGACTTGAAGTACAAGACCCTGGCCCCTGAGTTGCCAACAGAAGCCTGCTGGCCTTAGACAGTCTCAGGACAGTCAATTAATGTCAAGTTGCTTGGCCTGGCTTTTTTGAAGAGAAGTATCCGGGCTTTCTGGGCCTTGTGTACTGGAGGTCTTTCTGTCCTGAAGGCTGTCACTGTTCCTGCAGAGTCCTACCTCTTTGTATCACAGACCACCCAGCCTGGACTCTACTGGGCTCAGGAGGTGACAGGGTTCTGCAGGCCAGGCCCTGAGCTGGCCAGTGTGGCTGGAAGAAAGACCCCCTTCGCTGCTCCTCCTGTCCTGCGACTTCTCCACCTCTGCAGCTTCTCTCCAGCTCAGGTTCTGCAGAATGGGGATGATTTCTGCCCTTCCCCCACTTGCCTTTCTGGCTTCTCCTGTGAAAGCTTGAGGCAGGTTGACCTTTGACCCTTTTTGGAATTCCAGGCCCTGGGGGGGTGGGGTGACTTCCAAGCTCCCACCACTTCCTGATGACATAAGCAGCATGGCAGCTGCCTCGCCTCAGGCCTGGACGTGTTGCCCCTCCCCCAGGGACTTGCTGCACTCCCCTTCTCCCCACTCTCTTTGGTTAGGCCTGGCTTCCTATTTGAGTTTAGTCTCTGCCCTGCTTGTCCGACATGGGCCCCTTGCACTTGTTCTGAAGCTGGTTTCTGGGCTGAGGGAAGGTGAACCAATCAGGTTACTCCTTTGACCACAGCCAGAGCGATGCCTTCCCCTGCTCTGAGTCCCTAGGTCTTGTTCCTCAGCAGTACTGAGGGTTGTTTGTGAGACCAAAGTACAGGAAGAGGTCTGGCCAGCCGGGTAGACCCCATCCTCACACCCTGGCTGGCACTACCGCCTGGGAGAGAGTTGAGCCAGTGTTGGCCTGTGGCAGTGGTCTGAACTGGGCTTAGGGAGTCCCTATCCCTTTGCTATTGCCCCGACCTCCACAGTGGGTGCTGCCGAGGTGACACAGGTGTCAGCCACTCCTGCTAACTATTCTCAGCTGTGCTCAGATGTCCCCAGCCTCCAGCGTCAGGGTGGCAGTGGGCGGGGGTGGTGTGGTACTTTCCTGTCTCTTATGGCCAGCTTCCCCTCTGGGTCTACTGGTGTCTCTCAGATGCCGGTCTTGGCTTCTACTGTGTGTGTGTGTGTGTATGGGGGTAAGGGCAGGGTGAACACAGCCTTCCTTGTGTAGGCCAGCGGCTGCTCTGAGTGGCTTCCCTGGCATTAATGGATACCCCATCAAGTGGCTTCATTTGTGGGCTTTTGTTTGTCTGGGTCCTTAGGGATGCAAGAGGCCAGCTAGGCCTCACCTCCTGGTCTTCCCCTCCTTCCTCAGTGCCTGGAGAAGTTCCCTGTGATCCAGCACTTCAAGTTCGGGAGCCTGCTGCCCATCCATCCAGTCACATCAGGCTAAGAGAGGCTGAGCCACCAGAGCCACCCTGGCCAGGTTCCTGTGCCCTCTGACCCGGCACCCCCACCCACCTTCTGTTCTTTCTGTTTGATGAGAGGCTGTTTACTGAGATGGGTGCTGAGCAGGGCCTGAGTTGGGTATTGACCAAAGTGTGGCCAGTTTTTGACTGTCGGTCTGGTGGGCAGACAAGAAGAGGGGTGGGACCTGGTCCCAGGGCCCCTGCCCGCCCCGTCCTCCCCGCTGCCTCTCTCTCCTGCCCAGGCCCGTGTGGAGACAAGGGCCTCCTGCTCTTCCCATTGCTTTCCCTTTCCCATGATGTGACTCCTCCTTCAGAGCGGGAACAGAACACGGCCCCTCCGGGGCTGGCTGGTCAGCTTCCCACCTGCTCGAGCTGTGTTCACTGGTGTCTGCCTTGGGGCTGGAGGGTGGGGTAATGGTTGGTAGGGGGCTGTGGATGATGAGGTTGGCCTTTCAGGTGGCCTCCTAAGCCTGAGGGTACCTGTGCCCATCCTCATTCTGGGTTTTGTTCCCTGGCCCTTGGGTTTGCCAGGTTTCCTGACTGTTATCATAAAGTTCCCCTTCCTGGGGTAACCTAGTTATGGAAGCTGCCCTGGGCTCCTGGGAAAGCCTGTCTTTCCAGAATTGTCTCTGGCAGGGAGAGGATGGTAGAGACTCAGAGAGGCACTGGGGCTATTGTGTTTGTGGAGAGTCTGGTTTCCTCCAGTCTTAGGCCTGACCAGTTCTGCTACCTCGACCCCTGCTTTGAGTGGCTTTTAGCTTCACCTGGGGCCCTTGCTTGCTGCTCTGCTCCCTTGGGTCAGTTTGTGGCTGGTGTGGAATGGCAGGGAAGGCAGCAGCCCTCTCCTTCTCCCTCTCCCCTCTTAGGGGATGAGGCAAGCGGCGCCCTGCGCCTGGGCACAGACTCAGAACGGGTAGGACTGCTGAGGGGACCTAGCCACAGTCAGCAGCTTTTTCCAGCACTGTGGCTGAGCTGGCGGCTGCAGGCTTCCCTGCCACACTCACCCTGTCATCCTGCACTGCCCATCCTGTGTCTCCACAAAGCCTTTGGGGCGTGGACATGAGAAGCACAACCCAAGGACTTGGCTTAGCAATTATGTGGACACAGCTGGGACTCAAGTCATCAGTGTCACAGGCAGTTTCCCAGGAAAGGCCCTTCCAGGGCCAGGCCATCACCTTCCTGGCTCCCTCCCCTGTCCCTGGGTCCCTAGTCCTGCACCTTCCTTGCTGTTTGGATTAAAGCCTCTGTTTTACACCTGTCCCCCGTGTGAGACATCTTTTCCGGACATGTCTGAGTGACTATTCCCTAGCAGGTCTCCTCCCTATCAGTAGACTTTCTGTGAATGGGATGTGTGACCGTGATTCAAGCAGACAAGAGGGTTCAAATCCCAGCTGTCCCTCTGCTCACTCCAGCGGCAATCACAAGTGGTGCTGATGACCCCAAATCTAGACATGTCACATAGCACATACTATGTTGTCACTGTAGCACTGTGTGCCTGTTTCTCCTGCAGCTGCTCTGGACTCCTGTCAGCCCTATCCCTAGTTGTTAGGTGTAGCTCTTTCTTCTGAGCCCACCGTTGTGATCTGTGGTAGAATACAGCTGTACAGTGGAACTCCTTAGCCATCTGAAAACAGAAGCCTCTCTGCTGGCCCTGAAGGCTTCGCACGGAGGCAGGAACAGGAACCTCAGCCAGTGCCCTTGCTCTGCCTGAAGCCTGGTCTCTGGAGAGCAGCACACTGGAGTTGAAACCCAAGGGCAGCTGCTTACAGTGGAGGTGTCCACTTTACCGCAGAGCTTCAGTCTTGGCCCCAAAAACAGGCATGATGTGTCATGGTCCAGAGCAGTGAGTCTCAGCTTTCCCGATGCTTTGACCCTGCAATCATTCCTCTCTTATAGTGACCCCCTCAACCTTAAAATTAGTTTCATTGCTACTTCATAATTAATTTTGCTACTGTTATGAATCGTAATGTAAACAGTCTAGGTGACCCCTGTGAAAGGGTCATTCAGCCCCAAAGGTGTTGCGACCCACAGGTGGAGAACCCCTGGTTTAATGACTTATTTGTTTCACAGGCAATAGCTGTGTGTTTGTGACCCAGCATACCAGAAAAGAACAGCATTGTTTAGTGGATTGTAATTAAGAAATTAATGGGGGGGGGGAATGCTTACTTACACACAGGCGTGTACAAACTGTGTGTCTTAGGTAGGGTTTCTGTTGTGAAAAGACACCATGACAATGACAGCTTTTTAAAAAATTTATTCTTTTAAATTTCATTTTACATTCCAACTACAGTTCTCCCTCCCACTCCCCACTACCTCCCCCAGCCCGCCCCAGTCCACTCCTCTTCACTGGTGAGGGCTCCCATGAGGAATAAAAGTCTGACACAATAGGTTGGGGCAGGGCCTGGCCCCTCTCCTATGCATTAAGGCTGAGCATGGCATCTCACCATAGGAATGGGATCTAGCAAGCTAGCTCATATACTAGGTTTGTATGGTGGTCCTACTGCCGGGGGTCCCTATGATAGATCAAGCTTCAGAACTGTCTCCCACATACAGAGGGCTTAGTTAGGTCCTCTGGAGTCTCTACAGCTGTTGGTCTAGAGTGCATAGTTTTTATGAGCTTGGTTCATCTGTCTCTGTACATTTCTCCATCATGATCTTGACCTCCTCCCTCTCTTCAACTGGATTCCTGGAGCTCAGCCTGGTTTTGTTGTGGATGTCTGCGTCTGGTTCCAGGCTGTCTTAGTCCTCTCTGTGCAGTAGATGTCTGTATCTCAGGGAGCCCCTCGACAACAACAGCCCTTATAAAGAAAACATTTCGTTGGGGCTGGCTTACAGGTTCAGAGATTTAGTCCGTTACCACCGTGGTGAGAAGCATGGTGGTGTGCAGGCGGGCGTGGTGCTGCAGAAGGAGGGAGAGAGGGACACTGGGCCTCGATTGAGCTTTTGAAACCTCAAAACCCGCCCCCAGTGACACACCTCCCCCATACCTCCTAATAGTGCCCCTCCCTGTGAGCCTGTGGGGGCATTTTCATGCAGACCACCACAATGTTACCTGCTTGAGAGCTGTGCAGTACATTTAAAATTTTTACCTTGGTCTAGAGCAATCTTGTCTTCTATCTGAGGGCACCCGCACTTGCGGACACATACCCACACACACAGGCATACATATACATGCAGTTAAAATAAGGGCTTGGGACGGGAGTGGTGATCAGTGGTTGAGAGCAGTGTCTGCTCTTCCCAAGGACCTGAGTTCAATTTCCAGCACCCATATGGCATCTTACAACTGTCTAATTCCAGGTCCAGGAAATCCAACACTCAAACATATATGCAGGCAAAACACTAATATACATAAAAAAATAAAAGAGATAAATATAATGTATTTCTGGAGAAGGCTCAGGTTAAGATCCAGGAGCTCTAGGTTTGGCTCCCAGCACCCACATGGGGCTCACAACCAACCATCTGTAACTCCAGTTCCAGGCAATCTGATACCCTGTTTGGCCTCTGTGCATTGCGTGTGCGTGGCACACAGACATACATGCAGGCACAGCACTCACACACGTAAGATACATACCTTTTCAAACAAACCTTAGGGGCCAGAGAGCAGGCTCAGGGTTAAAGTCTTGCTGATCTTGCAGAGGACCCATGTTCAGTTCCTGGCACACGTGTGGTGGCTGACAACTTTCTCTAACTTGAGTTCCAGGGGAATCCAATGCCCTCCTGTGGCCTCCATTGGTACTGCACATGTCAACTTACCTGCAAAGCTTTTTGTGTGTTTGTGTGTGTGTGTGTTTGTGATAGGGTATCTACATAGCCCTGGCTTGCCTTGAACTCACTGCATAGACCAGGGTATCCTCAAAGTCACAGAGATTTATTTGACTCCTGAGTGCTGGGATTAAAGCTATGCACCATCATGCCCAGCTAATAAAAACCGATTTAAAAATAAAATCTTTTAGCCGGGCGGTGGTGGCTCATGCCTTTAATCCCAGCACTCAGGAGGCAGAGGCAGGCGGATCTCTGAGTTCGAGGCCAGGCTGGACCGACAGCCTCCAAAACAATACAGAGAAACCCTGTCTTGTAAAAACAAATAAATAAAATCTTTTAACTGGGTGGTGGTAGTACACACCTTTAATCCCAGCGCTCAGGAGGCAGAGGTGGGCAGATTTCTGAGTTCGAGGACAGCCTGTTCTACAGAGTGAGTTTCAGGACAGCCAAGACTACACAGAGGAAAAACCCGTCTTGAAAAACAACAAAAATTTAAAAAATAAAAGTCTTTCATTAGAAAAATTATTATTATTGTTATTTTGGTTTTTTGAGACAGGGTTTCTCTGTGTAGCTTTGGAGCCTATTCTGGCCTCGAACTCACAGTGATCTGCCTGCCTCTACCTCCCGGGTGCTAGAATGAAAAGCGTGTACCACCAATGTCCGACTTGCAGAAAAAGTTTTTTTGAGACAGGGTCTCATGTATCCCAGGCTGCCTCAAATTTGATGATTGGCTCAGGAAAGCCTTGGTGAACTATTACTCCTCCTCTGTCTGCCCACTCAGTGCTGGAAATAGAGACATGCACCACCATGTCTCAGGAAGTGCAGGAGATTGAACCCAGGCTAGGCACAGTTGAATGTGCTGGGAAGGGGAGGTAATGTAACCCTAATGGTCCTGGAACTAGCTTTGTAGACCAGGTTGGCCCCAAACTCAGAGATCTTGCCTCTGCCTCCCAATGTGTTTTTCTTGAATCCATGTAACATCAAGCACTTTTATAACGATATTCCAGTGGTGGGGAGATGAGACTGTTTCCTGCTTTCAGGAAACTTACAAGTGGGGGAAATCCATGGTGGACCAGCCTTGGAAGAAGGTGGCTAGTTGTGCAGGCAACTGGACTCCGGGGCTCTCTCAGAAGGCTGATGAGCAGCCCACTGAGTCCTGAACAAGGAGCACAGACCATGGGCATCAGGTGGACCCCGTGGCAGCAGAGGTGTATGGGTGGCAGGAGACAGCTGTGAAGGTGAGTGGTGGTGACAGCTTTGAGTCCGGCTTGGGAACACCCTAGCACTGTGCTGCTTTGACCCGGCACCTGCCCAGTGCAGGCACGTACTGTTACTGGTAGGCAAGCCTCAGGAGAGCCGAGTACACAGCAGGCCCTACTCAGAGTATGTGAGAACATATGAGGGAGGGACCTGTGTGGGGAGTGGGGAGGCTGGTGTAAGTCAGTGCCTTGGCACAAACACTGCAGGCCAGGGAGGCCTGGGATGCTGGACAGAAGATTGGGTGGTAGGGAAGAGGGAAGGAGCCAGGAAAACAGCAAGCTGTGAGGAAAGGCACTGAACTCAGCAAGGGTGCTGGGTTTGAGAAGCTGCCACCCCCCCCCCAGCTTGTTGGACTTGGCCCATGAGAGGCCCTCTTCAGGGAAGGGAGAGCCAGGCTGGAGGGCCTCAGGCCCCCCGTGTCCCCCCCCAGTTCTAGCCACACTGGCATTTGTGTTCCACAGACTCTCACCTACTGATTGGCTTGACCCTTTACCTCATTGGGGACCCCTCATTCGATTAGAAGGCCTCATGTGGCTTTGTAAACCAGGCTGCCTCTCTAAGCACCAGGCACACGGAGCTGTGGAGGCTGTGCTCAACTGTCCCAGCATAAGTTCTCAGCTTTCTGAGCAAGAGGAGAGGCAGCCATCTGCTCCTTAGGCTGGAGGGCTCTTGGCTCTGCATATCAACTTTGCTCAGGGGCTGATGGACGACATCCTTATTCTCAGCACCACTGTTGCTGCTCCTGTGTTGTTTCCTCCGGTCCCTAGACGTGTGCCTGACTCTGCAGGCACATGGGTTAGATTTAGGAATGGCCAGATTAGAGTCAGGCAGGACCCTTCCTGTGCAGGAAGGATGCAGGTACAGGGAAGGGAGGTTGGGTTGAAGATGGGGTACCTTGGATAGCACAGTTCTGAGAGTCCTGAAGTAGAAGTGCTGTGTGCTGGAAAGAAAAGAGGATCCCAGTGCGTCTACAGGCCAGTGACAACAGGATGCACAGAGCCGGAGGTGCATGCCAGGCCTACGTTCCTTCCCTCACCCAGTGTGGGTGGAGCCTCTGCTCCCAGCTCCTGCAGAAGCTGGGAAGCTGCAGTGAAGCAAGCAGACAAGGCCGCCCTGGACTCTCATGACTTATCCTCAGAAAACACAGGAAATACCCAATGTTCAACTGTTAGGAGTGGTCACAGCGACTGTCAGGTGACCTGCTTCTATGATCCTCTTGGTAAGAAGCTTATGGCCT